TGGAATCAAATGATGACGTCAGTGGGATTATCTCCTTTATCAACTCCTAAGCATCCCCGGGACAACATCACTAGCCCCGCCCCTAAAAAGGTGTGAACTTGAGCCAATCAAGGACTACTACTACTAGGTCGTCCTTAGACGAGTTTGCCAACGGGTTCGCCAATCCTCACGGTCCTCCATACACCCGGCCAGCTCTGTGGAGCTTTCCACCCCCACATCCTTCCTCAGCACCTCCACGTATGTTGGCGTGGGGCGCCCTCTTGGTCGGTGCCCGTGTGTTGAATCCCAGAGAACTAGTAACTTGCGCAGTGCTGGAATTGGGCCGGTACTCACCGGTACGCAGTACCGGCACTTCTGGTTCTGACCCATGGAGTACCGGCACTTCTTGCTCAGTACCGGCATGCTGGCGGTACTCCGGTACTCATGCACCGTGCCAGTACTCAACACTCTCCCGCCGTTCTTATTATACATCCATATATATATATATACAGCCGCCCGGTACTCAGTAGATGCGTCATGAGGTGCCGAACGGACATTCTCATCGCTCTAACCGCTGGAGTTTCACAGCGGCTGTCAGCTGTTTACTCCTGTCATTCAAACAGAACGTGCTGGAGAGGGGGCGGGGCTTATCTTCTCCATGTAAATACTGTGGTGGAAACGACTATGTCAAAATTAACCTATTTGACCGTGATTTAATAGTAATACACGTTTCAAAATAATAATAATAATAATAATAATAATGCCGAAGTAACAACATACTGAAAACTGTTAGTAAAACCATGTTTTAATGCTTTACAATTTACATACCTAGATGCACGTGTGTTGTGTTTATGCAGTGCAACTCCCACCCAGTGGGTGGCTATGTAGAGTGATAGAACAGAGCAGGCACGCCCCCGAGAGAAGGAAAGCAAGTCACGTCACAAATGAGCATTTCTAAAATGTTAGCGTGGATTAATAAAAGTGCAAAAAGACAGCGGTTGTCGCCGGAAGAAACTTCAAATACAGAGAATGCTGTGCCTGTGTTGGAAATTGTGTCTGATGGGGAGCTTTCTTTGGTTGATCCTCCTGCTCCAAGTTCTAGTGCATTAGCATTAGCACTAGCTCCGCCGCCTCCTCCAGAGCCTCTAACGTTAGCTGCTGCTGGCGCAACTGCCACCACCAACACCGGGCAAAGCGATGCACCTGACTGCTGGACAACGGACCAGGTGCAATATTTTTGCAAGACCAATGCATGGCTCCTTCTTAAAGATAAGAATCTAGGATGTCGGATATGCAGAGATGTCAAATCTTTGGGAATACACACTGGACAAGGACTGAAACTGTCAACTGAATGGGGTGAGTGTGCAGTGTCTCATTTCGGTGTTGAGAAGGGCAAACAACAAGCAAGCCTGAGAAAAAAAATCAAAGAACATAAAGAATCACAAGCCCATGTAAAAGCTGCTGACATCCTTACATCTGCTTCACGTGAAACTATTCAACATCAAGTGCAGTCTATGCATAAATCGGAATTAGACACCACTATCAGAGTTTTTCGAACGGCATATAAAATTGGCAAACATAGCCGGCCATTCACAGACATGCCAATTGATTTGAATGTACAGAAACTGAATGGGCTGAACGTGGGCAGGGTTTTGCACTCCAATAAAACCTGTGGCGAAATCATCGACCACATAGCTCATGAGCTGAAGAAAAAAATGGCAAAAGACATTACAGAAAACCAAAGAAAACTCTGTGTTTTGGTCGATGAATCTACCACTATTAGTGGTAAAACGGTGCTTGTTGTGTGTCTACGCTCAGCATTAGCTGATGCTGAGCCCGAAACGTTTTTTTGGGAGCTGATCGAGATGGATGGAACAACGGCTGATGACATCACAAAGGCGTTAATGGAGTGTCTTGGAAGAGATTTTAACGAGGACTTTTTAGGTCAGTGTTTCGTTTCTTTTGCATGTGATGGGGCTTCAGTCATGCTAGGGAAGAGAACAGGCGTTGCTACCCAGTTGTGTAGTAAATTCCCAAGCCTGTTTGTGTGGCACTGCTCCAATCATCGTCTAGAGCTGGCAGTTGGGGATGTGGTCAAGGAGGTCTCAGGGCTCAATCATTTCCAGATCTTTTTTGACAAACTCTATTCCTTGTTCCATGCCTCCCCCAAAAATCAGAGGCAGTTAGCGCAGTGTGCGCAAGCAGTCGGACATCGTCTCCTGGTGATAGGGCGTGTTTTGTCCATCCGCTGGGTGGCTTCAAGTGAAAGGAGCGTCAGAGCAGTCTGGGAAAACTACCGAGTGCTTCATGATCACTTCACAAATGCTGCAAACGACACGAGCAGGGATTCCAGAGACAGAGCAAAGTACAAGGGCCTGGATGATGTGCTCACATCTGCAACGTTTGTCAGCAATCTGGGACTGATGTACGATGCGCTCACAGAGCTCAGCGACCTCTCTCGGCAACTCCAAAAAAGAGAGATGACACTGCCTACAGCAGATAGGCTCTTAACTCAAGAAATACGAGTTTTTGAATCCATGGTCACCATGCCTGGCCCACACATGACTACAGTTCATACAGCTCTAGCTGAGAAGTCCTTCAAGGGTGTTGCCCTGCGTGAGAATGGCAGGCTTGTACAGATTCATGCAGGTCAGTTTTTCCGCAGTATGGTAGAGAATCTGAGACACAGAATGACTTCCACAACCTCCTCTCATGTCAGCACAAGAGAAATCCCATTACATGGCCGGGAGGCCCGGGACAATCAGCTAATCCAGGACATGAAAGTTATCCATCCAGGAAGTTGGCCTGAAGAGGAGTTAGACGTACAGTATGGGGACGTAGAGGTGCTACGTTTGTGCGAAGTGCTGAAAGTGGACAGAAGAGAGACTGTTCAGGGCTTTCGCGAATACAAGGAAACCAGGGCATCCCGTACACCTGCTGCCATGGAGCCTCTACTGAAAGCAGTCCGAACCATCGCTGTCTCCACTAGTGAGTGTGAGCGGGCATTCAGCTGCATGAACGATATCCTTACTGCAAAAAGGAATGCTCTCTCTGTCAGCCGACTGTCCAGCCTGGTTTTCATTAAATGTAATGGACCATCACTAGGACAGTTCAATCCGGAACAGTATGTGAGGTCCTGGCTGGCAAAGGGAAGGAGAAGTGCTGATGAAAGAGCCTGTCCAGCTCCAGCCCCTGATACTGATGTCCCCAAGGCCTTCTGGAGCCTTTTCTAACAATGTGAAGTATATTGCAAAGCAGCTCACCCAGTGAGAAGACTTTTGGCATAATGTGCCGATTTGTACAGATCCTGGAGATAGAAGGACTTCAGAACAACCAGGGAGTTATCTGATCAGCTTGGTGTTCAATGTAACTCTTTACCATGGCTCAGACTTTGTTACTTGCAGTTACAGTTTCTCATTTTAGATTGTGCAAATTTTGCATTTGTTTTTACATGTTCTTTGTTCATGCTCTTTATCATTTTTCTGAGTTGGAAAGTTAGATTGCATCATAGTTTACTTTATACATATTTGTATTCTTCAGTGGTGAAGTATATTGCAAAGCAGCTCAGCCATGTGAGAAGACTTTTGGCACTTTTTCGTTTTTCGTTTTCTGAGTTGGAAAGTTAGATTGCATTCAAAATGTACAGAAATACTTAATTTTGTTAAAGCTTTTTATAAAAAATGCTTCTGACCAGAGCTTTGTTTCCTTGTCATTAATGTTGAACACCACCAGAGGGGCTCTCACCTGAAAGGTCTCTGCTTCATGTGTCTTCAGCAGAAGATCTAGACTTTGATTGCTATATTTTCAGTTAATATTGACCTTACTGAGCTTTAGCCATATCCGCTGCCTATCATAAAAAATGTTAAGTACAGTGAACCTTTCTAAAATATACAGTAGTAAAGAGACAAACCCACCAGCATTATAGTAGCCAAATTCTTGTTTGTGGGCTGTATATATAAAATTGACTTGAAAAAGTTGCTGATTTTAGAGTACTGGCACCTTTTTCATTCCAATTCAAGCACTGCTTGCCAGCTGGAAGTTCCTGGTGTCGATGGCAGTGACCTGCACATTTCAGTTTCCTGGATGCCACCTTGTCACTCAGCCTGGGTAGCCCACCAGGACTAGCCCCGCTCCTAAATTTTTGAGAGATTTCTGAGGAGATTTGTTTTGGAGATTTTTCATATTTTTGGAGAGAAATAAAGGTGGGTGCAACTTACAAAATAGCCATAAAGCTAGTTAGCATAAAAAACGCTAATTAGCATCTGCTAGCTAGTTACAAACGTTAATTAGCATCTTCTAGCTAGTTAGCATTACAAACACTAATTAGCATCTGCTAGCTACTTAACATTAAAAACGCTATTTAGCATCGGCTAGCTAGTTAACATTAAAAACGCTAATTAGCATCTGCTAGTTAGTTAACATTAAACAAACGCTAATAAGCATATGCTAGCTAGTTAAAATGTGTTGTCCCTGGGTCATCATAGATGTTGTTCCCATGAATTGAAAAAATACTGGCAAACTGCATAGGTAGCTAATTGTACGTTAACATTATATGTATTCACTCAGCAGGCATGGATAGTTTTGTTACCAAGACCAAGAGAGTTCGGCTTGAGGTTGTGCACCAGTGTGTATATAGTTAAAATAAAGTTATCCGGTGATTGACGTTCAGATACCAGTGTGGAGTTTTCTGTCTTAAATTTGATATAGATCATGTTCTTTGTTGGTTTGTGAGGATGTTCATACACACTTGGTAAGATGTGTGTGTGAAAGAAGACCACAAAAAACAGCAGTGACTGCTCTCAGCTGTTTAACACTTAAAGACCTAGACACCATCACCAGTTGTAGGTTGTCTGAATTGCAGTGTTACTATGAAAATTCACTAGAATGCAGGAATTGAGAAAAAAAATCTCAACATTTTTCACGGGGGATGGGGGGCCCGCCCCGCCCCGCCCCGCCCCGCCCCGCCCCGAGTCGTTCCCCCAAAGTACATTTCATTTCTGCGGGAATCACTGATAGGGAAATATTGAAAAGACTGATTGATTGTGTCCTGTTTTTGGGTAAACAGGAACTTTCATTTAGGGGACATGATGAAAGCGCCGAGTCCAGAAACAGAGGAAACTACGTGGAGCTTCTTTCTTTGCTTGCTGAGAACAACACAGACTTGCATTACCACCTGTCCACAAACAATAATTCAGGTAGGACTGTGTCGGACATCACTGAAGGCCTAGGTGTGAAATGCACGGCCCGCCACTGCTGATTGGTTAACAATGGCTGGTACAGAGCACAGCACTTCTGATTGGTGTGGATGACTGACACACCAGAAGAAAGAAAAAAAAATTCCAAAAAAAAGAAAATGTTAAAAAAAAATCGCAGGCTTTGCGATTTCATAATCGCATCATTTTATAATCGCATCATTTTATAATCGCATCATTTTATAATCGCATCATTTAAAATCGCGATTTTGATTTAAAATCGATTAATCGCTCAGCCCTATTATGGGATGTAGAAACCTTTTCTACTCTTTGGAGTACGCTTTTTTTGACGTGTCTTTGCTTTACACCAACTTCTTTATTTGACCATACCTAGAAGCTTTTGTTATCATGTCTTTAGGCTGTGTTTGCCGTCCAGGAACTACAAATGTAATTTAGCTCACTCTGGAACATTATGTTCAGAGCACTGGAACCTCAACATGTGGTGGAACATTATGTTCAGCGATGAGTCCAGATTCTGCCTACGGCACATGGATCGTAGGGTCACAGTGGAGAAGACGCAGAGAATGCTTTACTGATTGCTGCACCGATAGAGTAGTGGAGAGGATGGAATGGCCTGCCTGCAGTCCTGACCTCAACCCCATTGAACCCCATTTTGGGATCAACTTGTTCCTGCTGTCCGTGCCGGAGTGACCGACACAACCACGTTGGCTGACTTGGGACAAATGCTGGTTGAAGAATGGGAGGCCATCCCACAGCAGAGTGTGAGCAGGCTGGTGACAGCATGAGGAGGAGAGGCTGTCGTGGCTGTGTTTGGTTCTTACACACACTACTGAGGCTGCTTGTTAAATGAATCACTTGTTAGTAAATCAATTATTGCCAATATGTCTTTATTTATCAGACTTCAATCATCCAATCCAAACAACACCAAACTAGAGTCAGCAAAAAAAGCTGTTTTGCATTGGCAGAGGAGATTTGTCATATTGTTCATGGCTACATACTCAGCTCTGCTGCTCATCCCACAAATGCTTGTTCCTCACAAATGTGGTACCATTGGAAAGGTAAGAAAACAGGCTTTGCCAAAAAGCATTGTTATAACATAGAAATCAAACCCAAACCCAAACCCAAAGTTGTGTTAAGTTTATATGATTGATTGTGTGGGGATTGTGACAATTCTTGTTTCAGAATATTCAGGATGTTGTCTTTCTTTTGGAGTGCCAGACCAGGGTGCAGTAACTGTCGAACAGGGGAAACAGGAGTTTAATTAGGTAGGTGAAGCGGATGTGTATGTGTGAGTGTTTTTATAAGAGAGACAAAGCACATTGTCTAAATGCAAAAAGGCTGTATTCTCATGGTAAAGTTCTTGTTTGGTCTCTTCCGATGACGTTTTTGAAGTGAAAAACCAACAGCAAACAGTGAAAGATAACTTGAATCAATAATGAGTTAATATGGTATCACACCACCTTTCAGGATAGTTGAGCTACTGCAGAGGTGGTTCGAGACAGTAAATGCAAATGTGTTTTCCTCAATGCAAGAAGGCTATAATTGAACAACATCCAGATAATAAAAGGAATGTTAAAGAGAGGTTTAGAATCTACAGGCCTATACTGTACAACGGACCTCCCCTCAAGTTTAAACAGATAAACAAAACATTTGAATATCTAAGCTATTAATATTCAATAACGTTTCAGGGTGTTGGTTGATTAAGACCTTGAGTTGCAGCAAAACCCGTTTCTAGAAAAGGATAATGTCTGTGTAAGTATTGTAAATCATGTTTAATGGTGATATCTAGACATTTTTATGTCGATTGAATCACAATTCACAATACTGAATCGTCAATGTAAGGTAAATGAACTGTAATGTTCCTCTACTATGCACAAAAATGAAACCCATTATGATCTTTCAGTATCTGTTCCTGTCAAGGGAATATTATTTGGTTTCCTTGGCCACTCAGGCAAATACAGTAGCAAACTCAGTCTCCCTAGGCCTGAGGATAAGAACACTGAGTTCCTGAATCTGAGATAGACATCAGCAAAGCAAGTGTAGACATACGAGTTAGTCCACCCCATTGCTCATGATGAACACTATTGCTGAGTGCTATTGTGCTATCTTGCACAACACGTTTGCTGCATCTTCACAGCTGAATGAATCCTTAAAGTACCTGTAAACACGGCACACAGATGTTACAGAAGTTAGTTTTGAAATAGATGCCTCATGCACACGAGAAGATTGGGCTCCACAATGTCAACACTTTTCCACGTGTTTAATGTGTATACCAGGTTTCAGGTGTAATCAATACAAGTTGTCATATCAGAAGATAGCTCATAGTAAAAATGTTTTTGAATATTAATATCCTGGTAGAAAATGGCTAATGCCACAATGATAGAAACAAGTAACTACTCATTCTAATTATTAACGTATATACAAATGTTTGGTTAATGTTCCGCAATGTAGTTTCTTTGTAATGTACCTAACCCTGACCCATCATAGCCATGCCTTATTTTACCCTGAATCTTGGCCCATGTGTTGTTTGACTGAGAGGTCAATTCAATTCCGTGGGAAGAGAGTTTGGGCAGATGTTGGGTGTGGGTGGATAAAACGACAGTGTTGACAATATCTCCTTATCTTCTGGCTTTGACCCGATGGGTAGCAAGGCTACGGCTGGATGCGCCTGCCTTATCGACTCATCTACATCTGCAGGGCCAACCCTGAACTGCTGGGCAAGTTTTTTATTTATTTTTGTATTTGCAGCGCCATGACTCCGGGTTTCAGGACGGCTTTTTGTTCCCTGTGCAGGCAGAATGCAGGCTGTGGGCTAAGGAACAATACTGTACTCAGAGCGCAGGTAGGAAACTGCACGTAGCAATCCTTACATCATATTATGCAAGGGAACTCCTAGATACCAGTTTCCAAGCAGGTAGGCCTGTCACCGCTCTACAGGCTGCAATACACAACCATTTACTGTAGAGCCTTTTCTTATCAAGCTCCACATTTGTGGAATCAGCTTCCAGTTTGTGTTCGGGCGGCAGACACCCTATCCGTTTTTAAGAGTGCGCTTAAGACCTTCCTTTTTGATAAAGCTTATAGTTAGGGCTGATTAGATTCAGCCCCTAGTTTTGCTGATATAGGCTTAGTTTGTCGGGGGACATCTTACTTCTTCCTTCTCTCTGTCTATACCTGTGTACTCTCATGTTCCGATTAACCCAGCTTCCCCAAATGTCTTTCTTTTTGGTGTCTATATACGCCGGGATCCGGAGTCATGGATGATCCTGCGCTCCTCTGTCCTGCATCGCGAGCCCTGGATCTTGAGTCGTGGCTGTGGTCCTGGATCATAGGTCCTGGATGGATATCCTCGTGGATTCATCTTCCTATTATACACACATGCATTTCCAAACATTTGGACTACCTATGTTGCAAATGTATTATCTTTTCAATGTACACACGGCATCTATTGCACGTCTGTCCGTCCTGGGAGAGGGATCCCTCCTCTGTTGCTCTCCCTGAGGTTTCTCCCATTTTTCCCTTTAAACTGTGGGTTTTCTTCGGAAGTGTTTCCTTGTACGATGTGAGGGTCTAAGGACAGAGGGTGTCGTATTGTCATACTGATATTCTGTACAAACTGTGAAGTCCACTGAGACAAATGTAACATTTGTGATATTGGGCTATATAAATAAACATTGATTGATTGATTGATTGATAGAGTGCCTCTGACAAGTGAAATAAACATTCCATTTATATAACTTAAAAAATAAGTATGAAATGTCCTGAAAGATAAAATCACAAAAGGATAAATCACAAATATTGATGGAAGGATAGTTCTTTCAAAGCAGGGAAATGCAGTAGCAGGTGTATTATAAAGGATCATACTTATTTGCTTTACAAATTATTTCAGTTTTTCTATATTTCCTCCCTCTATACAAGACACTCCCGTCTTACTAGGACCCCATCATGCATGATTTGAAAAAAGTACAACACATAGAAAAATAACAGAGATGTCACATCTTCGGTTTGGTTTTATTGGCTATGGTAGAAAATAAGTCAATCATTACTTAACCACTCTGACTCAATAATCCCCAGTGATATCGGGTCTGTGATACTGGCTGCAGGTCCATGGTTTATAAAATAACCTGTGTGCTAAGTAACTGTTTAACATCCTGGTACACTTTCTGTGTAAGCATACTGCAAGGAAACACTGGTGAGAGGAGTGAATCGTAGAGGTAGGTCTTTGTTTAGCTAATTACTGAATCATGATTCATGAGAGATTATGATACAACGATATTCATTTGTATCGGTGCCACTCATGAAATGAGACTAAAAACATTATTTTTAAACTTGTAAAGTATCTTGCAACAATTGATGAGTCTCTTCGATTGAAGTTAGTATTACCTGTTTTGGTCATTTGTATTATTTAACGCAATACCTGAACTGTTGTAACCCCTGCATTGAACTTTGCTCACTGATTGTTCGCTCGCATGTGGACATGATAAGGTTAATGAAAGAGATGGCATATTATTCTGAGGCAAATGACCAAAAATAAACTAACCAATCAAACCTTAATGTGTGCACTAATCATTTGATTTATTCATGCTTATTATATTATGCATTTAGAAGGAAAATCAGACTAAAGATACATTATTTTGTAGGTGCACTATACATAACAAATTGTGCTACTTTAAGTAAAATGTCATCAGAAGATACAAAACATTGTAATAAGACAGGATATTATTTTGTATTTGTTTACATAAAGGATAGGATGCTGCCAGTATGTTTCAGTATAAAGTATATGAGTGCAAATGCCCTGTGTCGTATTG